CAGCCAGGGCCCCGCCCGCAGCTCTCCTTCCCTGGCTGCCCAGAAGAATAAAAGTCAGTCTGCCTTGCTCTGAATGTGAGCATTGCCCGTCCTTCCCCAGCCCCTGACTTCGTAGTGAAGCCTCTGAGTGTCAGACGGCGCCGTTACCCTCCCCGTGGAGAGAAAGCAGAACCTGAGCCTGTTCTCCCTGACATTGCTGGTCACCTCTGACGCTCTGAAACTTTTTCAGGTCAGTTTCCACTGCTAACAACGAAGAGGGTGTTCTGGAAAGGAGTGCTGGAGGAGCTGCTCTGGTTCATCAAGGTACGGTCTCTTTATTTGCGTTTGAATAAGAAATAATAATGTAAAGTAGATGGCAAGCAATTCAATTTTCTGCTTTTTAGTATTGAGATAGCTTCATTTGAACAGAGAGACTGTGCAGAACCACAGGTGAAGTAAGACTGACAGTAAACACCAGGCTTTTTAGTAGCAAAAACCTGAGAGCTAATAGCTGTAGCTAGAATATTAAAATTCAGCTGTAGACACTACATTATGGTGCACGTGTTCCTTTGTAAGACCTTATGGCACCGTTCCAGTACCTGAAGGGGGCCTACAGGAAACTGGGGAAGAGCTGTTTACAAGGGTGTGGAGGGATGAGAATAAAGGACAGGGGTTTTCAACTAGAGCCGGGTAGATGTAGATTAGACATTAGGAGGAAGTTCTTTACTGTGAGGGTGGTGAAACACTGGAACAGGCTGCTCAGAGAGGTGGTGGAGGCCCCATCCCTGGAGACATTTGAGGTCAGGCTTGATGGGGTTCTGAGCAGCCTGCTTTAGTTGCAAATGTCCCTTACTGCAGGGGCTAGATGACCTTTACAGGTCCCTTCCAACCCAGAGCATTCTGTGATATGTGACATGCAGGTTTGGGAAGCCTACCTGACCATTTGCTAGACAGCAGGATCCAAATACACACTGTTTATGAAGTATCTTTTTCCAAGTGTAAAAGACTAGACATTCCTTTGGGCATGCTGCAGAACTCAGTGAAACTTCTCTGGTCATTTTAACAAAGGAATTTTTAAGACATTAAGCTCGTTATATGTGGCTTGGCAAAGACAATGCCTAGGCCATCCACTTTTTGTTTGTCTGTTTTCCTCCATCTCTAAAGTACTGTTCTCTGCAGATGTGCATATGAAGTGATATACCTTGAGGCTGTACTCTTTGTGCATTCACAAAGGTAGAAGACTCCTGAGTTAGATCAGCAGCATTCAGACTTCACCCTAGTATGTTGCTCCTAAGTTTTGTTCTGTCCACCTGCAAGAACCTCACCCAGTACCTTAATCAGACTGTTCACCCTTTATAACTGGAGGGATATTGTAGACTAGCAAAGCTTCATACAGCTGTTTCAAAGCTGTGTGTTAGAGTTAGGAGGAAGACTTCTTACTGCCTGTGTTTTGTAGGGCTCTACAAATGCCAAGGAGCTCTCTGCAAAAGGTGTGAAGATCTGGGACGCTAACGGGTCCCGGGAGTTCCTGGACAAGCAGGGCTTCAGCTCCAGGGAGGAGGGGGACCTGGGGCCAGTGTATGGCTTCCAGTGGAGGCACTTTGGAGCAGACTACAAGGACATGCACACAGGTAACCACACCCCAGTGGAACCTGGATTGCCTGGTGACATGGCTGTGACACTGCACCTCCAGAAGCCTGGCTGGCATGGACTGTGAAAGGTCCCTTCAGCAAGTGAGAACTGATAGCCAGAAGAAAGAGGGAGTGTCCCAGAGCCTTCAGTTAAAAAAAAAAACAACAGAAGAAAAGGAAAGGTTTAACTCAGACCTATTATCCTGAAGGGTGTAGCTTGGTGTATTGTAGTTTGATGGTTGTAGAACAGATGGCTCATAAACCATATGTTGCTTTACTTTAATCTGAGCAGATATGGTCACTGGTAGATGGAAGGATGGAGTCAAAAAATTGTCACTATCTGGTTGGTATGATTTCTAACTCTAACAACACGGCTAGTTATAATTTTTCCTCTTTTGTTTTTATCAATACAGTCCCAAAGTTCACAGAAATTACAGCTAGCATTAGGAATTGATACCAGTATTAGAATAGTGATCACTGGCATAACAGTGTTATGCTAACAGAAATGGTGGAGGTTGTCAATTGGCACATTTAAAAATTTACTGAAATGTTTCAGCATTCCTGAACTTAAAAGGTCTGAGGCATAACAGAGTTTGGAAGCAATGAAGAATATAAATTCCCATAGCTTTCATTGCTAATAGTTTTCCTTAAGTGGCATCACTACTGGATAGGTAATTAGGTCCAGAAACTGATGGAACCTTTTGAGAAGGCTTCTGGCACAGTATTGCTGGCAGGTTAATTCCCTGAGATGCTACTTGTATATTACTGCCTCCTTTGTCAGTTTGGCTGTCCCTGTAACCATGATTTGATGGTGTTATTAGGAAAAAAAATAGTTATCAGCCATGCTGGAAAAACCAGTGGTAAAGGCATCACTTTTCTGTGGGATGTGGCTGGGCTTTGGACAAGTACAATGACTCCAATCTATCTGGCTAACACCTTATTTGGCATCTTTCTTCAGATTACACCAACCAAGGAGTTGACCAGTTGCAAAAAGTGATTGAAATGATCAAAACCAACCCAGATGACAGAAGAATCATTCTGTGTGCTTGGAATCCCAAAGGTATTGGGCTGCAGACTTTTAAGTGCCCATCATCTTGCTGTGTGCTGAGCTGTGTGCTGGTCCTGTGTCAACAGTCAGTTCTGTAGATCTGCACAAAACCAGCACCCAGCACTTCCCACTCCTGTCTCTGAAAGGAGATGGCACCTGCTGCTGCTGCTGTTTTTAAGGTTAAGCATTCTCAGCCTGGTTAAAGTTTTCCTTACTAAGCTGTGATTGCCCCATCTGCACTTTTCAGTGTAGATAAGCACTCAGAAGATATTTGTTTTCTGAATAGAGTTTTTTAACTGGTCATTACTTTATATCTCACCAAGCAGTAAAGGTACATTGCAATGGGAAGAGCATAAGATGAAGTAGCTGCAAGTCCCTTTAGGGTACATGCTTAATTTTACCCTTGGTGTCTTCCTTCAGGGAAACCAGCTCAGTAAAACCTCAGTGCTGTGCAGCAGCATTATGTACAGATTTGTGGGTGTATATTTGTATATTTTATATATACTTACATATATAAAATATAGATTTTTATGTATAATTATAAATCTTGTGCAGCATTATGGCACACATCTGCTGTGTGGAATATTTGTATGGCTTTTTTTGGCCAGACAGCCCAGGTCATAGCTTGTCAGGACCCAGAGTTAATTGCTTAGGCAGCAGCTACTTCTAAGTAGAAGACAAAGCAATAGAACAATACTGCAGTTGGATTTTTGCTCTTTACTGTATCTCATTAGATGCCTGTTCAGGTTTTGGATCTTCTCTGTTGATAGCACACTAATGCTGTTGAAACTCCTGCCCCCAGATCTGTCTCTGATGGCTCTGCCCCCGTGCCACGCCCTGTGCCAGTTCTACGTGCTGAAGGGTGAACTCTCCTGCCAGCTCTACCAGAGGTCTGGGGACATGGGACTGGGAGTGCCCTTCAACATTGCCAGCTACTCACTGCTCACCTACATGATTGCCCACATCACAGGGCTGGAGGTAGGCACCCCACCCTCCCACTGAGTCTGCTCTGGGAGAGTCCTCTCACTTCTCTGTCACAGCCAGGAATAACTGGATGGAGTACACTGTCAAAATCTTGTTGAAATATGTGTAAGAAGGGGCCCTGTGAATTTCCTGTGAACTGTCTCTGGTCTGTATGGGCAAATCAGGATTATCAGTGTAGGAGTTCTTAAATTCAAGCCAAACAGAAGATCCTCCAGATGTTTTTAGCTGAATGTGTCAAAACTGACCTGTCCCACTAGACTCCTTAGAAATCTGAACTGAGCACTTGTCCTCATGGGAAGCTAACACAGAAGTAACTAAATTTTGTAACCTGCTTTTATTGGAAGGGAAGAGCAGCTCAGCAGTTACTGTCCAGCTGCCAGCTGGGATATTCTGCCCAGCTGACTTCCAGCTACAATCTCAGCTGGGCATTTCTTCCATTTCTGCTCCAGCTGATGGATTCATGGTATTGGCTCCAGTAGCTGCTGCCCTGACTGCAGAGCTGTGCTCTGTGACCTGGCAGAGCAGTTTAAATGGGCAGCAGTCTTGGACAAGTCAAACCCTCCTCAACAGCCATTGCAGGCATGCTGAAGAAGTCAGGCTGGTAACACAATGCCCATAAATGAGCTGTTGCTTCTCAGCCACTTCCCCTCACAGCTTTGGTGATACATCCTAGGGCTGAACTGTGTTGGTCAGAGGCCAGTAAAGTAGCTGGTAAATCTCAGCTGGAGTAGGTTGCTTAGGGGCTGCTGAGTCCCATAACTTGCAAACCCACCTGGGTGCTTTAGGTGCTTTGGGGTTTAGCCTGCCAGGGACAGCTCCACTGCCACGAGCTGCAAGGATCAGCAGGGGCCAGTTTGGAACCAGCTTTGCCAAGCCCTCAGTGGAGGTGTGGTGGGAAAGGCAGGTGTCACTGCCCCCTCTGTTCCCAGCTTGGTGAGCAGACCCACAGTGCTCCAGGCACTGACTGGAGCTATTATTTCAAAGATTTTTTTGTTTCAAACTAGTGGAAATTTCATTATTTTTGACTAATTATACACTACACTGGGAAGATGTGTCCCTCAAGCCTTGCAAGGATGCCTTGGTAACCCAGCTGAATACAGAAGCTGCAATTCCACACTAGATGTAAGATACTAACTTCATTAATGTAAGCAATGTGATGTTTTGCTTTCTGACTGCTTGAAATCCATGAGTATTGTTCTTTCTTTCCAGCCTGGAGAGTTCATACACACACTAGGAGATGCTCACATCTATCTGAATCACGTGGAACCTCTGAAAGTTCAAGTCAGTACTTGTTCTGTATTCTTACATCCTTTTTTCTTCCAGTGCAAAGTTACCATGCTGCTGTAAATACCCTTTTGCCAATCCTGATTTGTGGCTTTTCCTCTCCTCTCTGCCCTACTCCTGGCAGTCCCCTGCCCTCTGTCCAGCTCGGGCTGAACACACAAATTCAGCCCAGAGGTGACTGAGATGGACAGCAGTGTACTAGAGATCCAGGATCTACATCCCTGCCTTGGACTTCATTTCAAAGCCTTAGAAAACCCTTCTGCCCAATACAGATAAAATAAAATGTCTGTGTAGTAGATTAGAGGAGGACAATGTAACTATTTTTTTTAAGAATCTAAATCTTATTGGGGAGGAGGGAAAATCTAAATAGCATAAAGCTGAACTGAGTTTAATGAGCTATAATGTATAATACAGTCTCTGCCTTCAAGTATTGGCTTTACCCAACAAGCTTGCTTTTCTTTCAGCTTCAGAGGGAGCCAAGACCTTTCCCCAAACTCAGAATTCTTCGGAAGGTTGAAGACATCAGTGATTTTAAGGCAGAAGACTTTCAGATTGAAGACTATGATCCTCATCCCCCCATTAAAATGGAGATGGCTGTTTAGTGCCCTCGAGCAGCTCCTGTTGGCATGGACAGGCACCTCAGGTCCTTGCTCCTCCTGTCCTTAGGGGGTTTACACACTTCAGAAGATACAGACTTTGTCCCTGCAAAGGGAACAGACACCAACAGAGCAGCACTGCCTTCACTAAACTGCAGTCCTGCAGGACAGCTGCTTATTTATTCCTGCTCTGCTAGGAGGATGCTAACCCAGTTTTAACCCAGTTTTAAGATGTTAGTGAGATGGTTTTCTACACATTGTTCCAGCTACCAGGGGCCACTTCTGTTACTGCAAAGGGAACAGACACCCACAGAGCAGCACTGCCTTCAGCACTGAACTGCAGTCCTGCAGGACAGCTGCTTATTTATTCCTGCTCTGCTAGGAAGATGCTAACCCAGTTTTGACTTTGTCCCTGCAAAGGGAACAGACACCAACAGAGCAGCACTGCCTTCACTAAACTGCAGTCCTGCAGGACAGCTGCTTATTTATTCCTGCTCTGCTAGGAGGATGCTAACCCAGTTTTAACCCAGTTTTAAGATGTTAGTGAGATGGTTTTCTACACATTGTTCCAGCCACCAGGGGCCACTTCTGTTACCATTCAGTTACTATGAGTGAGTAGCACTTGCTTACATGCTTTATTTAGTACTGGAAGTAAGAATTTTATATATGATAAAATGAAGGATAAAAAAAATTATTCCTTCAGGGTTGTAGAATTCTTTAAACATGTTCTAAGGAGTGTATGTTTAATAAAGCTTTTTAAAAAAATCTGCTGGAAGGGATGATGTGTCTTTTACTTCACTCTGTTTACAGCTAGTAAATAAGAGCTGGAAAGCCAAGGTAAATCCTCTTTCATTTTAGGATCTTAGAGGGTGAAATCTAGAAAAGAAAAAACAAACTTACCAGTGTCTTCAGAGATGAACCAGCAGGAAGACAGAAGGATCTTCGTGCAGCCTCCTCTGAAATGCAATCCATGTATTAGTGTTTAACTTCTCAGCTCTACATGAGTGATGGATTTGATATAAATCAAACAGGACTGTAGTTAAACAGAGCTTACCAGGTAGTGTTAGGAGTAATCTGGTACCATTTGAAGCAGAGCACACAAACATATGGACTAATTTTACAGCCTGGAGAAAGTTAGATAGTAATAAATATGTGTAGGAGTGCAGCTTAGTTATTAAATCTTGGCAGAATTCAGCTTGTCCTTACAAAATTCCTCTCCAGGAATTCAGTTGTGAGGAGATCTATGGTTAATACTCAGACACAGCATATTCAATACATACTTGAACACGTGGCAAAACACATAGTAATTTTAAAGTAAATAAAGTGGTAAATATCACTGCAAAATTGTACCATTTGAGGTGATTCTAAGAATTTAATAAACTGTGCTTCTATTCCATTCAGTCAGAGACCTGCATAAGGGGCAGTCACATCTTGGAACTAATAATTTTTATTGAAACATTTCAAAATATGCGACATCTTGGAACTAATAATTTTCAAAAGCATATTTTGAAATGTTTCAATAAAAATGTTATACAACATTTATATTTAAAAAGCTTACAAATCTCATTATACTGATCACTCATCCTCAGACTGTTTTCTGTAGTTCTGCCTGCACTTACCAAGTGAAGTTCCTTCTGCTGGAACCCAGGCAGCACATGGGGTGGGATGGGCTCTGCTGGGCAGTTTAGCCAGTAAAACCAGGGAAGATATGAAACAAACTGTTGGCCTTGGGCCTTGACCACTGGGGATTAGGACCCTCAGTGAAGGGGACCAGGACAGGAACACCCAGCCAAGAGAATTTAGAATGTGAGTCATTTACCTCCTTTCCTAAATTACAGAGTCAGTCCCATCAGAAGGAAAACATTTCAAATCCTTACCTTTGTGGAACATGGCAAATGGTGTTTCCTCAGGCAGGGGTTGAAGCCAGGCTTTAACAGCCCCCAGAGAGCCTCCCAGGGTGGGAGTGAGCTACAGCCTCAGCTCCCCTCCACCAGAGCAGTTCACTACCAACAGCAGCTGCTGAAGTGAAGCTGGTACCTTCAACTCCAGAGAGGCTGATGCTGCTCCAGAGGTAAGATGTGAAAAGCTGACTTGACACAGCCAGCTGCTCTGAACAGACCAAAAATGAACATCAGGAGTGGGGACTCAAAGTGTAGCTGTTTATACTTACTGATACTCACTCCAGCTGCAGTGTGCTTTGGAATAACCAGTACTGTGGATGTCTGGGGGTGAGACAGCATTCCAGTCCAGCTTGTTCTGACCAAGCAGTCAACTCCAGGAGACCTTTCCCCCCCTTCTTTTAAAATTTTCTTAATTTTAAAAAAAGGACCTTTCTAAGGCTGCTTTTCAGTGGCAAAAGTTACTCACAAACCTAATGAAATGACAGTCAGGTGGTTGCAAGGATAAGAACATATAAGGTCCTTTTTATAATGCTTTATTTTAAAATAGGGATGGTATTTTATCTAAATAGTAGGATTGTAAGCATTTTTATGTTTGGAATCTTACTTGAAAATAGTAAGAAAATATTCTTAGACTACTGCAGCCTGAAATAATGCATAAACCAACCTGCAGGCCCAGCACACAGAACGGGTGTCACAAGGATCTGATGGGCCAGGGGGAGAGTACAGATTAGCTGAAATTACATAACTGCCATCATTAAAAATAGTAAAACAATTACATTACAGGAAATACTAAAAGTACACTAAACTTTGCAGCCTGTAGGTTCTGCAAGAGTGGTTTTGGCGCTCTGTTAGTTACCACTGAAACTCCCAGTTCTTAGCTCCTCAATCCACAGTGGCACTTCACCTACAGGTCAGGTTTGTGGTTTGGGCTGTACTGGTTGCTGGGACAGGCAACATTCGATGGAGCTGAGATAAAACATCACCTGTCACAGGAACAAACGTGTCAAGTGCCCTGGCACTAAAGCACCACGAACTCCTCAGCCTGCACGAAGGTACAATAAGATGGTTCACAGAGAGTAAAACCACACTCCATGCTCACAAAGGTTTTGAGCCTCCCCCCCTCCTCCCCCAACAGGAGGCTGCTCTGCCTCTGCCCACTCCCCCTCCCCCTCAAAGAACCAGATGCAGTCAATGAGAAATTTATTTTTAACCAATTCTGCAAAACAGTTCAACGATGCCATACTTTATAAAAATACTTAGTTACATAATTAAACTTATTACTATTTATATAAAAAGTGAGAATGTGAATTTTAAACTCTGTTAGAATAAGAACCACATCGAGGTCTTCAGGTGAAACAAATTTTCATAAACATACAAACTCTTTTGGAGAAGTCTTATAATACACAACCATTTACAATGAACACGTTCATTAAGTTAGTGTTTTATTCTTTTACTATACAAGTGTTATTACAATGAACTGTTCCTTTCAGTACTTAAAAATCCAAACAATGCCAGCCTCAGGTTTGGCATTTTTTGTTATAACTATTAATACATAAACTCATAAGATTGTGTTATTAATTTTAGAATATTTAGAAAAATTAAAATTCCATTGTATTTTTGAGGTTTTTTTATTATTTGTGTGTGTGGTTTTTTTGTGTTATTTTTGTTTTTCTTACATAAAGCCCTTTCAAAGTTTGATAATCACAGACGAAGAGGTGATGAGCAATGACAAGGGAGAATGACAAACGATGGCACTTGTTCTTACCAAGACCTGTTTGGTAGCTGGGTTCAGTGTAGTGGAAATCCATGGAGAGTGTTTAGTACCAGAACCTTATCAACACCTTTTCTGAAATTCATTTCTTGGACAGCTTTACAATGATAACATGAATTCCAACCTGGCAGCTAAGGAAGAGTTTAGTGTTTCAAAATTTAAAGTACATAAGCCTGATCAGAAATTCAAGAACCTCATGGAAATTGAGTAAAAGACATGATGTTATTGCTTGATATGTCAGTAGACAAAGGAAATAAATCTAGATGTAGTGTAAAGCTGGGCTGAGTGCCAGCAAGTTTCCATGTCGCTAGGTTTGGACAATATTAAATATACTTTATCCCTTTCGTTTATAAAATTTCACATTTTCTTTTGCTTATTTTTCAGTTAAATAATCCTGTAGGAAGGGCAGGAGTGGGAAGAGAAACTGAATGTAGATGTGTCTTAATAGTGAAGCAAAGCAAAAGTGCAATCAGATCCCTGAAGCAGTGGCAGCACTCCTGGCACCCACGCTGGCGAACGCAGCCCAGCCACGTGCAGCAGCACCAAACCTGTCTCTGGAGGAGAAGCAGGGAGGGACCATGCCCAGCCCCAGCCCTGCCTGCCTGGGGAGCTGTGTTCAGCTGGTCTCCCACACCAGAGCTCTGGGACTGGAGCTTTAGGGATGAAAGGCTTTCCCTCCCTGATTGTATCACGAAGCTTCAAGTTCAAATATCATCGCATTTTATCAACATCACTGGTAAAATATTACATTTTCTAATTACCTTCATTACTCTGATTAGCTATGCAGAAAGAAAAAAAAAGAAGAACCTCTGATGCTACTTTCCAGTTACAGGAGCACAAGGATGAACAGAGTGCATTCTGCTCTCTAGTGTCACTATCGAGGTCTGCCATTCAGATCAAGTTCCTCATTCATTGTTCCAATTTCAGTTTTAACCTGACTACCCTAATTAAGTTGATGCAAAAGAAGCTTAAAGATCAAGACTATTTACCAAATACAGTTGGATCACCTCATTGTCCTGGGAGGGTGGGGGGCACACAGGTAATTTTGAACACGGGGAGTTTTACAGAACTGGAATAGAATTGCTTGGTCCCACAAAGTTCTTCTGCTTTAAAAGTGTCTTATCCCAAAATCACTAATTACAGACAATTCCCTCTTCTGTAAAACAACTACCAAATGCTGGGAAAAGAAAGGATTTCAAACATTGGTTTTTCTGCTATTGTTCACACCAGCACTCATTTTTCTACCCTATATTTTCAATAAGATTCCTTTGGACCCTGAAAATAAGCTGGGAAAGAGGAGAAATAAAATAAAAACATGTCATTGGTAAATTAGATTATAACACTTTAAAAGTGGTTTTGTGCAACTGTATTATGAAATTCCAGTTTGCCATTAAGAGCATGCAAAGTAGCAAAGATTTTTCTTTCCTTTGATTCCTTACAGATGTCAGGAATTCTTTGCAAGTCTTTTACATTTGGCAGATTTGTGCATGTTAGATAGACCGTTGGCTTACAAATTGTCTCCAGGCTGGTACTGTGGTTCTGTGGCAGTAAAGTAGTCCTCCAGGAAAGACTGGATGTATTCAAATGTCGGCCTCTCATCAGGGTCCTTCTTCCAGCACAGTTTCATCAACTCATGGAGAGACTCTGGGCAGCCCTGTGGGCAGGGCATCCTGTAGCCACGCTCCACTTGTTCCAGCACCTCCCGATTCACCATCCCTGAAAGGAAAACCTTTTAGCTCTGAAGGACATTATGCAAAGAAAAATTTCCCCAATTTTTTCAAGTCTCTCTCTCCAGCTGCAATGCATGTGTCCACCATAACCATCTTTAACAAATGTGCTTTATCATTAAGTTTATGTTTTGCATTAAATGAATTTTCTGAAGATCTCATTGCACTGCTAATTCCTCAACATCTTCCTCACAGGTCCTCCTTCCCTTGCCTTGCCTGCTCTCCCATTGGTATGCACTTCTCATCTGCTCGTCTGCCTTCAAAATTCCAGTCACAGCAAGAGGTCTGACAAAATGTGTTACATGTGTTTAGCTTCAAAAACTGGTCCAGCAGGTTCACTCTGCCAGTGTTCCCTGTAACCTGGGAAAGGGGGAATTTCAGGGGCAAACAGGAAAATGTAAAGGTACTAATCTGAACTCAACTATCAGTCACTAATCTGAACTCAACTATCAGTCACATTTACAAATGCCATTATCTAAAAACATTTTAAAGAATATATAATCTGTAAAAAACCTAAAGTAGGCTTCTGAACAAAGGCACCAGTGAAGCATGACTTAAGTTTGTGTCTGCTTGTCAACTGTGGGCTCTGAATGGAGGCTGAAAGTACAAGAGGTAACCTCAGAAGCACAGAGCACACCAAAGGAGAGAGGAGCTGCCTGTTCCCTTACCTGGCTATGGCACAGAGCACACCAAAGGAGAGAGAAGCTGCCTGTTCCCTTACCTGGCTATGGCACAGAGCACACCAAAGGAGAGAGGAGCTGCCTGCTCCCTTACCTGGGTATGGCACAGAGCACACCAAAGGAGAGAGGAGCTGCCTGTTCCCTTACCTGGGTATGGCACAGAGCACACCAAAGGAGAGAGGAGCTGCCTGCTCCCTTACCTGGGTATGGCACCCGGCCCTTTGTCACCAGCTCTGTCAGCAGAATCCCAAAGGACCACACATCCGACTTGATGGTGAACCGGCCGTACAGCGCTGCCTCTGGAGCAGTCCATTTAATTGGAAACTTAGCTCCTGCAGACATTGGAAAGAGATACTCAATCTCCTCTTCCTTGTGCTTCATTTCCTTACACTTCACAATATTTTTAAAAGAATACTGCAATTAAAAAAATTTCCCATTTGGCTCTGTTGACCAAGTTGGAGGTGGTCGAGTCTTTTCATATTTCAAACTGGAAACAGCTCCAAACCAGGGCAGCAGGGACCAGCTACAGCTCTTGGAAGCAGCTGAGACACCTGGGATCCTTAGTTACATCCCAAGAAGTGGGATGATCTTCAGGATCTGATGAACAACCTCTCCAGTGTCTCAGCACCCTTCAGAGCGTAGAGTTTTACCCAAAAAACCCACCCTAAAACCATTTTTTTTAAAACATAAGCAAGCCAACAGATTATTTTGAACATTAAAAAGTTTACTAAAATTGCACTTAGGTGAGGTGGACACACAAATATAGCTGTGAAAGCTTACATGCATAATCTTTATTCACGTGGATGGAATACACAGATAAATTCTGCTAAATGTAGTAATTCTAAGTAATTTTAATGTTGCTGGTCTTATTTATGTAGTAAATCAATCAGTCTTACCTTGTCTTGCAGTGTACTCATTGTCCTCTATTAACCTTGCTAAACCAAAGTCTGCTATTTTACACACAAGATTGTCTCCTACAAGAATGTTAGCTGCCCGAAGATCCCTGTGGATGTAGTTCATTCTTTCAATGTAAGCCATGCCATCAGCAATCTTAAAAATAAAGTTTTATTAAAGATTACTTTTCATTACTATACAGATTTCTCCAAAGCATCAAGCTGTACCTCTTTATCTCAGCTCCACTCTCACTGCCTAAGCCTGGGAAGTCCAGCCCAGCAAGAGCCTGTGACAGCACTGATGAGAGTGAGTCTGGCTGTTATGATAGCTGCTAACTGGGAGCTAGATGGGTTTTTCTGACAAATTACAAACCCACAACATAAGATTTAAGGTGGAACAGTAGACAAGAGCCAGAGTGTTCACTGTTTGCCTTTACTTGATACTTCATATAGTTTCATATCTCCCCTCTAAGCACCAAGTCCAGTTTTCTGGTTTATACAACGTACCTGAGCAGCCATGTCCACCAGCTGGGGGAGTTTTAAGTATTTCCCTTCTCCTTCTTTAAGGAAGTCTAGCAAGCTGCCTGTAAAAGATCACACAGTTGGAGGAATCAAAAAGGAAAACCCCAAAACATTAATCTGACCTGAAAACATGAACTAATTCTTTTTTTCCCTATACAGTATGATTCACACATTCAACTCCCAAAACCTGTATTTGAAAACCTGCTGCCACTTCACAGAACATGTAAGACAATGACTATGCCTGTGTTTGACTCTGCCCTGGTAAGCAGCTAGTCCAAGTTTTAGCCAAGTATTTTGGAATCCATTTGAATCATTCAGATAACTGAGCACTATGTAAAACAGGCTGTACCTTGGTGATAAGGCAACACAAGGAATTTTCCCAATATTCCTGGTATCAATAACCTTCCTAGTTGGACTTTTTACCACAGTGAGATTTATAATTAAAGAACAAAAAAAAAGTCCTTTCCTTACAGGGGAGACAAAAAACCATCTTCCCTCTTTTTGATCTTTTCCCATTTATATAACGTAGTTATGCCCAGAACACCATGAACAGTGTTTGCAGTCAGTTCCAAGGACCTGCACTCCTTTTAAGAGAGCAATATTTACACACACAGTGAAACTCTGACAGAGCAGCTTTCTCTGCAGGTGTTACCACACCAAGAGGGTACAGGAACATGATCTCCAGATGAGGACTGAGAATTGATTGGCCTCATCACTGTTACGACAATGACACAATCACACGTGTGGTGATGGTGGGGTAAGATCCACTCAGTTGCAGAACTTGCAGTGGATCCATGGCTGGAGCTCTGAATTGGATACTTCTGGTGTGGTTTCAGTCACTTGCTGTACTTTTGCATGCAAAGTAAAAGTGTGGCAGGCCAGGCTCACACCACTGCTGGTGTCTGGTGTGTTTGCACAGACCTTTTCCCATTCTGGTTCATGAGCTCAAAGGAGCAAAGAGGAGCAAAGATTTCACACTGACCTCTAGTAACCTGTCCACATTGAAAAGAAAATTGGGTATTGTGCAGCTTTTACCCACCTCTCTTCCTTGTAAACAGAGGACAATAAAGAAAAAGAAAAAAATGTTCTACTGTCAAGTATGAGACAACGTTTTTTGGTAAAATGTGAGAAGGTTTTCAAATGAAAACAGAGGCTTCAATGGCATTTTGAATCCATAACTTCAGACTTATTCTTACCAGGATAGCAAAACTTCTCTGTAAGATGATCAGAAGTCTGCTTTTTATAAAAGTGGAATAACTGACTTGAAAATCTGCTGCTTCTGAACACTAATATGCTTATGATGTTTATTTCTCCATTCAGCCTAAATCTCTAAGTCTCTGCTTGAGCAGCAAGGGGAAATGATAAGCAAGGGAAGAAGGATGAAAAACTGAAAAGAAGGAGGTAGAGGAGGGAACAAAAAAATGCTCAGCCTGTTTAAAATTTACTACTACACTGCTGGAAAAGAAAAACTAAAAAATACCCTAAACCCCAACCAGTTCTGTTGCTGTGAGCACTCTGTCTACAGGCAAGTGTATTCTCATCCTAGTAGCCCCAGCTATACCTTCTAATTTCAATGGAATGGGCAGCACACACTAAAACATTAGGGAAAAAAATCCCCAATCCTGTACTTGGAAGATGAGCAAGGGTGACACAGATGTGCAAAAACTCCTGCCTCCAGCCATGATCCAAATCAGAACTGCTTCAAGTAGGTCAAGCACTGTTCAGTTTAATTTAATCAAAATTACCACGTATACTTCAGTCAGCTTAGACCTAACCATTAATTAAACATCCCTGTTGCTGCTGGAGTCACCCCCCAGGCAGCTCCCCCAGGCTGTGCCCCACCTTTGGCCATGAACTCAGTGACAATGTAGATGGGCTCCTCGGAGACCACGGCGTAGAGCGGCACCAGCTTGTCGTGCCGCAGCTTCTTCATGATCTGGGCCTCCTGCAGGAACGCCTCTGGCATCATCGTGCCAGGCTTCAGGGTCTTGATCGCTACCTTCGTGGTTCCATTCCACGTCCCTGGAGAGATAAATGGGATTTTATTCTACCCTACCACACCAAAGAGCATTTCTGATTAAATCCTTTGCTCTTTGCTTGTTTCGTTAGCTACTGGTATAATTACAGACATTATTTCTACCCTTATGGGGCTGATCATAATTGGTACTTTTTCTCCTCAATTCTTTATCAGATTATCTTTTCAGATTCCAACACTGATTTACTTAAAATACTACTCAAATAGTCACACAAACAACTGAAAGGTGTCACGTTAAGCTCTTACCCATCCATACTTCACCAAAACAGCCTTGACCCAACTTCACTTCCAGCCTCAAGGACTCTCTAGGGATTTCCCAGGCATCCTTTGCCAGTCCCTGTGTTTGTGGTTTCACAGTGGGACACACGGTCGTTAGCTTATGACACAGTCCATCAGCATGTTCTGGAGAACAGAAAAAATAAGCTTTGTCTCTAGGTACAGGTAAGGCTGCAACAAAAGCACCATGCCAACGTGGATCAGAAGAACTGGCTGGCCCACTGACTGTGGAGATCAAAAATGAGCTGCACATGCAGTTCTGCCTCCCCACGACAGGCAGAGCACTGAGACAGAGCTTGGCCTTACCTCTGTAGTGTTTCACCAGCTTCTGCAGGGACTCGAATTGTGCTCGGGTTGTGATGTAGTAGCCACCATTGTCAAGTTTCCTGATTTTGTAGTGTTTCACATTATCACCCCTCACCTCGTCCCAGTCCCGTATGGAAAGGGAGTAAGCACCTAGGGAACAAGCCACACCTGGTTCTTCACCAGAGCTTTACATTTTTCCTGAATCTCCCCCACTGTCATTACACATGTACACGGGTGCACATACATGTAAAATGAGACAGACAAAAATGCTCATTTTTGCCACCTTGGCTGGGGAGGGGTTGTGGAATGGGAGAGAAGAGAGACAAATACACATACCTTTAGTGGTTTCACTCTCTCTTACTAAGAAAATACCACGCTGGTTCCCAGGGTTTAAAAGCAGCCTCTCTGCATCCTTCCTGCCCATCTTACCAAAATACCACCTAGGAAATGGTAAAGGAAATCTAAATAGGTCCAAGTCTCCTGTGCTTTGGTAATCATATAAATACAATATTTTTAAGTCACAAGCATTGAGCAGACCACAACTTGGGGCTGCACATGACTCTTCATTTGTAACTCCAACTGCAACCATAACACAAAATCTGTAAGTGCTATCAAAGCCCACAGCTAACAAATGAATTCTAAAGCAAATTAACTCTATTCCAAATACTGTGGTGATATTTAATAAAATTAGCACTAGTTCCTTAAAACAGTCAGTTAAAATAAGCTTCATCAGTCATCCCTCAGTCTCACCTCCAATCACCACATAAATCACACAGATCCCACCACACTCTTTTGCCAGTCTTTAGGAGCAATGTATTCTCTGCAGACACTGGATTCTTAGTTTGCAAAGGGCTACCCTTTCCCCCTTACCACATCTGCAGCTGTAATGACAGTATTTTACTGCACAGTTTAAAAAAAAAGTCCCTCAACTTTGTTTCAAAAAAATCTGAGGTCAATAGTTTTAAAAGCAGATGAAACCAAAGGGCATAAAATAACAATGTGTCTTTGATGCATTCACTTCTTAACAGCCAAGAGCCAGGTGAGAGCAGCAGCAACATGTTAAAATCTCAGCTTGAGATTCAGGAAACATCTTGGAAATTGGGCACTTTTCCCAGAAGTGCAGTAGCAAACACAGATTTGCAGAGATGATGTATCAGGGGATTGTTTACCAGCAGTACCGTGCCTGTGTACTGAAGCACAGGCTGTGGAGCTTTATAGTTCTTGTACAATCAATACAATTAATTCCTTGAGACAAGTGTAACCTGAAACTGTACCCCCACTCACTGCTCCCACAGCAACTCTGTGATTCTGTAAGCACTGAGATCTTTGTTGGTAAAGTCCTGGCACCCAAAGCAATACAGTTTTCCCAATTCACAGTAGTCCTTAGCGTGCCCAGCAATTGTGTCACCAAAACGTTGTTATAGATTAAAAGATGAGCAGCAACTGTTCACACAAATGTTTTCTCAGAATATAAGATTGTTTTTACAAGGATACAGGTGATCTTGAATTAGGGTGTGGCAAGCAAAAACCTAGAGTTGATAGTGTCCTTAGCATGCCCAACAATTGTGTCACCAAAAAGTTGTTATAGATTAAAAGATGAGCAGTAACTGTTCACACAAAATGTTTTCTCAGAATATAAGATTATGTTTTTACAAGGATACAGGTGATCTTGAATTAGGGTGTGGCAAGCAAAAACCTAGAGCTGATAGTGCATGAACTCTAACTAAAAAATACCCATTTTTGGTTTATATAAAACACAATGTGTGCCCCCAAATCTTATCTTCATTCCTCCCTCCTCCCATCCTTTTTCCTTTGGCCCTACCTACAGCAAGCAGGCACAAAACAGCAGCCTGAGTGTCCACCTCACCCTTACTAATAATTACACATTTGACTCCAGCCAAGTAGCACTGCTATCCATTAATTAGCAGTATTATCTGAGCTTACACTTCAGTGTTACTGAACTAAAGGCACAGTATCAGCACAGGGCACAGAGTGCAGAACAGATAAGAACAGATTGACAGGACACAAAGTCTTACTCTTCTGCTTGAATGGAGTCTGCAGGAGCCACGTAATTGCTTGGGATGTAGCCTGTTTTTGCTGTAGCAATGGATCTTGCTTCCCACCAGTCTCCTTCCCTGCAAGGAAATATCAGTTACCCTCTCCACACAAAATTTCCTAGCACCTATAACATCCCCACATACAAAAGGTGGGTTCAATTTAGGTAATACCTGATTTTGTTTCTGAAGGCATCCAAAAATAGTTTTTGCTGCACCTGAATATATTTTTATATTTTTCTTTTCCTTGTAAGCAACATGAGTGTCCCTTAGTGGAATTTTTCATTTCAAAGATTTGAGTTGTTGTGTTTGTTTTTTTTTTATAGTTAAAAGGAATTATCAATATATGCAAAACACAAGCCCACAACAAAGCATTTTATGGCAGAGATGTGCAAATAAGCTGCCCAGTTCTCTAATCTTCATCTGCCTCTCCCAGGTCATTTTGCCTGCATGCTGGGAGTGAGCAATAAAGGAAGCTGGGAGTCAGCTAATAAAATCTGACCACAGGAAGAAGGCAAACTGCTACAGGTATGAATTAGAATTATGATCACAGCCCAAAGCCAGGTACAGAAATCTCCAAGGTGAACAAATACTTTCCTTTCCATGAGACTTCTAGAAGTTCAGGCTGTAATCCTGTAGCACTTCTGCAACTGAACTAGAACACCAAACTACTCATAACAATGCAAGCAGGGATCTTCTGTGGAGGCCAGCTCCACCCACTCCCACAGCAAGGTGCCCCCAGCCCCAGCACATGCAGTGCTGCTGCCTGCACCCCCCTCCCTGCGAGCCAGGGAGACCCAGCAGGGAGGACCCGCAGGGTGCAGAGCCTGGGGCTGGACAGGGTCCCACCTCCAGCTCTGCTGCCCTGGAGGGGATAACTGGGCCTCCCTGGAGCAGGGAGTGGACAGATGCTACACCACCAACCGAGGAGAGAGGCTTGGGGCTGCCCCAGTCCCTGCAGTTCTACATCTGCACCCAGACCCTGACCTCAGCCTGCACGTTATTGTCTTACCAGGATCAATATTTTGGCCCCATGCTTGTTAAAAATTGCATGCACTCAAGGAAAAAAATAAATCAATTTGCTCTTCACTGAAATAGGATACATAGATTCAAGAAGAGCAAAGTATCTATTAGCTCCCAAAACCACCCAAGTGAAGTCTGTGAGGGAGATCACTTACGTGTTATTTATTATCTGGAACCGTTCACCTTTCTTAAATGAAAGGTCATCTGTAGTTCTTGCTTCATAGTCATATAAGGCCACAAATACAGTAACACCACCTTAGGAAAAAGAGAAAACCCCACATGATACAGCAGTTAACATTGCAATACTTGATTTAAGGACTTGTCCATGAAACAACTCAGCAATTTTGATTTGGAAGCAACTAAATATGGGGGTTTGCTTCTCACTTTGGAAGCTGGATCAATAATCAGCTCATTCCTTAAGACAGAGGAAAGCCTATAAATAGACATCCTAAAAATATGCTTCCACACCACAAAAGGCAGCTAGATAAATCACTGCAAGTGCATCAATAATTAGAGCACTTATATACAGAAATCTGCACAACACATCAGCAGTAAAAGAAGTTTCCTGTTCAGAACTGCAGTTCTGGAAGGTCCTACCCCACCCCAGCAGTGTGCCACCAGCCACTCCTTTTTACAGTAGTGTCCTACTGATCTTAGCTATAAATAAGTGATGTGTGCCCAGCTTTCTGTGGTCACCCATTAAGATCTCCTCAGGAACTGAACCAGAAATAAAAGCATTCTGCAGGGGACAAGGACAGTTCTCTACTTTAGGACTAATGATTTTTTTAATTGAACCACTTAACACTTACCTGTTAAAGTACTAGGATATGGACTTGGCACAGCTGCAAATGAAGATGATGCTCCTCCAAAGGGTGTCATTCCTGAGGGTCCTCCAAAAGGAGTCATGGAATGACTATTAAAGTTAGCAGATCCCTTTATGGATGGTGACTGTGTGGCTTGGCTGGAGTCTGACCCGTAATGGCTGACGTGGGAAATAACAGGTTCTGGAGCATTATCAGTTCTGTATTTCATGGCTGGACCTTTATCTTCTTTGCTTTTAATGCACCCCATGGTTGTTTCTGTGAGAAGGACGTAAAAAAAAAAAAAGAGTCAAACTCCATGTTGCATCTTTTGGTAGTTAACACGGAAGATTCATAAAGAGTTACCAGAAATGCTGATTATTACTGTTTTAAAATCCCCAAACAGCCCCCAGCAATTGCTACCAAGTGCAGATGATAATCTCCAATGAAGAAATGTTCTGGAATAAAAGCTAAGCCATTACCTGACTAGAGAAGAGCTAATTATTTTTGCTTACATCCCATTCTAACAGTATGGGATTTGGATTATTCTTCATCCCAGTTCCATGGTGGATGGGGAAAAGGGAAAAGGAGGGAAAAGGGAAAAAGGAAAAAGGAAAATGGGGAAAACATTACAACAGATGAGGAGAAGACCCTGATGACTCCTACAGTGGGTGGAAGTGCCATACAGCAGGCAGTGAAGTTCTCCAGCTAGCAAAAGCAATGAAGTGGGGCAGTTATGAAGCCTCGTGACACATGGTCTGATGGTCAGAAGGAAGAGCTCAGGAAGCTTTATCAGGGAACCACAAAAAACTGGCTCCTAGGCCTTTTAAGATGAGTGGGGTGGGATCAGAAGACTGATAAAAAGGGAACATCCAGTCCAAAAGGCTCTGAGAGCTGGGCAGCTGCCAGAGAAGCACAAAGCCAGTGAAAATCTGCAGACTGGGGAAAGGTAAAGGTGAGGGGGAGATCACCACCACCAACCCAACACCAAAAAGACCTGCCCCCCACTGTTGGGAGCATGGGTGCTAGCTTACAGAGCAAGCAAGGCCAATTTAACTAGAACTAACCAGCAGCAGGTGGGATGGTACTTACTGACCAGTGTGTAAATTTAGGTGGGTAAACATGATAAATACTCTGTGTGGTGTGCTGGCTTTGTGGCACTGTCACCTAGCACCCACCTCTGTGCAAACACAGACTAAACCAAGTACCTCTGGCATACTGCACACTGGGTGAGTGACCCCACCTCTGGGACAAGAGAAGAGGAAACAGAGGTGACAAATGCAGAGTCAATGACACAAAGCAAATCCAGAGCAATTATACCAAGAAAATGAGTGGGGCATTCCACAATAAGGTCCTGACGTGCTGGAGATATTCCAGCTAATATCTTTAAAGATGGAGAGAAGTTTTCATCCATTGCCAGCCCCCCAAATACAACTCACAAACCAACCTGGGATGTTCATGGCCACAGGACAGGGTTAAGGTCTAGAGTCTAATTAAATCAGAAAAAAAATTTAGAAGAGCAATGAAAACATCCCTAGTGGTTTAGAAACTGCACGGTGCCCAGAGGTGACAATTTATAGCCCTGACAGCTCCCACCACAGGCAGCCTGTGCCAGAGCTGTTGGCTATGGGACATCCACTGCCTGCTGCTGGAGGCAGAGAGCAGACAGGTCACCAGTGTTTAAAGGACCAGCAAAGTCACCACCTGCCATTTCTCAGGTGGTGATAACAGACAGCAGGCATTCTTTGGCTTAACCCAGCTAGGAAACTAATCAGGAAGAAAACAGGAGTCTCTACTGCAGAGACTAAAGCATTAGTCTGGCATGAAAATACCTGAAAGCATTAAAAATATATCTTTTGATAACTGCAACAAAGTTTCATGGACTAAGAATTAGGGAAACACAGTGTTTCCCATTCTGGGTCTACCTATTTTTTTCCCCCCCTTTTCAATTCTCTCTTACCTTGTTAACTATTAGACACAGAAATATGGAATAAAGTAAATCTCACTATACAAATAAATTCTGCCTTAATACAGTCACACTCTGAGAAACCAATCCCCCCAGTCTAACCATTACAATACTAAAGATACTGTCATTTCCTCAAGAACAACGAATAAAGAGCTCCTGAAAAAAAGAAGGTCCATAACTTCACAGGGAGCCACATGGAGCTCACATGGTCACAGCCATAAGATACAGCAATCTTCCTCAAGAACAACCAATCAAGAGCTCTTGAAAAAAAGAAGGTCCTTAACTTCACAGGGAGCCACATGGAGTTCCCATGGTCACAGCCATAAGATACAGCAATAATAAAACCCAAGAAGTGCCCATCACAACAGACTCATCTGCAGTAGGCACAGAGCCTGTCTGGGGTAACTGACTGACAGCCAGGGTGGTGCTTCCAACTTCCAGAGCAGAGCAAACACCCCCAATTTTAATGTTTAAACTTCATTAAAAACAAAACCCAAAACCTGCCAATTGCTAATTACAACTTCTATTTTAAGAAAGTTTCTTTTCAGGACCTATTCTGATTTTTCTGTGAGGTCAGCATGTTGTTCCCACCTAGAAGGAGTGAGAAACAATTTGTGGGTTTGTACCTCCAACAGAAAACCCACCAACAAACCTAAGGGAGATAATGCAAAACACACAACACTGCTGGATCCATCTTCTTTACTCTGGCAGTCCAGATCACAACATTAACTAAAGATGAACTAAAATATCAGAACTGCAAAAGCAGTTTTTTGTGCTGAAATATGCAAGAGGTACACAGGACAGCTTTCAAAATGCAGAGCTACAGTGTCCAGCCACAGAGCATCAAACCTGTACCACACACAGACATTTCCTGACAACAGACAACACCCCCCACAAAACAACCTACACTGTCTAGAACGTGTTACTG